TACTTTGAAAATGCTCTAAAACTTTAGCAAACTCATCGAACTGTGAGAGACATGGAAAGATGGTTGTGAATCATTCCTGAGATTTGTGTTTTTTATATAAATTCTAAATGATTTATTTATGCCAAATTCAAGCAGTGGAACATTTATCAAACGTTTCCAAACTCAAACAATTTACGATTCCTTTTAATTGTGCTTTCTTTTCGAATCGATAAAACTCAATTTTGTAGAAGCGAAAATTTCTATTGTTCTGTGAGGCTATATGCACTCTTGCAATTTAGAATAGATGCAATGTTTGTGTTCATCTCTCAATTGTCAGTCTATATGATTAATTTTGATAACAAAACAGACCGAAACAGTTTGTTTTTTTTCTCTAGAAAGTTTCTACGGCAACTTGAAATTTATTGTTTCAATTTCGATTTATTTATGAACACATGCTTTTGATTTGGGACCTTCTAACTGCATCTGCCCATGTTTTTGTCATTGAAGTTATTGAGAGGCCTCCCTAACCTTCTGTCTTTCCGCTTTTTTTGGATACATGCATTATTGATGCACGTCTTTAATGCATCTTATCGAGATTCTTATTTGATTTGATGCTATTTTTGTTCAATAAGTTTCCCTTAGGTGTACTGTACTCGCTCGCTAAACTTACACTCTTAGAAAGCTTTAGTTTCTAAGTCTCCTGCAATAAAGCATCCTGAAAAGATTACGTCGCTTAGATTAAGAGGAAAGTCGCTTGTTCTCCTTTATGGCTAGCATTTCATCATCTTCCTTTTTATATGGCTTTTGGCCTTTATTAGTTCCGATGAACGTCTTGGTCACGGTTGACGGTGTGATTGTTTATTTAACAGTGGCCCGCTTTGAATTAACCGTTTAGCTTACACAAAGTTGGTATTGATCGATCTTAAGTTTGAAAAGCTTAATTAAACTTAATCAGAAAGTGGATTGAATTTTTCTAGTAAAATTGGTATTCTATAGCTATGATTTCGAGCAAATTTTTAAAAATGGAATTTGTATCTGAAGTATAGCTCTTATCAGCACTTCATTTGTGAGGGGTGTCTTTTTTTGCTATGCTCCTTCTTCCCTACCTATTCGCCAATGGCAGTGGCTGTTCCTCGCTAGGCACAGTATTAAAAAACGGGCGATTCAATGGACGAGGATACATGTTCTTGGCCGCGGACTTTCTGTTTCTGGGCTCCCTTTTAATCAATGGTTCTATCCATTTGAAAAAAAAATATTTGTATCAAATAAATTATGATGTTTAGCTAAGTGTGACCTTATTTCAGGGGGATGGGCAAAATGGTTAACGTTGAGCACTCTGGTAATAGCCACCATCTCCTATATGGGATATCTAGTGACACCAGATTGGCGAGAAATTGTTGACAGCAAGCACTACTACTCCAATTGGAAGGTGAGTTTGGTTACTATCAAGTTACCCA